AATCAGCTCACGACACCTCCTCAAGCACTGATGATTGAAAATTAGGGTTTGAGATTGCACAAGGATTTTTGAACTTCCAATGTCCCATATGACTTTCATGGATCATTATGGACCCCCAACATTACTCAAGTCAAATTTCAAGCCTTGGATCACACTTTTGATCAGTCAATTGAACAGTTGACCTAAAAATAAGTTGTATTAGGGAAAAAGTCAACCATGGCCAATTTACAATCAAACTTCATAATTTTTTATCCACATCAACATTTTAGACTCATATGTATCATTTTATCAAGTTTGGCCCATAATTCCTCAAGAAATTTGATTAAATCATCAAAAGGGAAAAATGGTCAAAATTAAGGTTTTGATTGGGAAAAGGGCAATTTCTGGTTTTTGACCTAGCAAAAGGTCAATTGAGTTAAGGCATGATCTTATGAGTCCAATTGCATCACTTTGACCTAATGACATGGTTCAAAACACTACAAGTTCATTGGATTGACAGATGAATTTTTCAGTCAACTGATCAAAAGTCAATTGTATACTGAAAAGTCAAACTTTGACTTTTTGGTCAAAATCAAATGCCAAAGGTCATAATTCATCAAAACATGTAAAAAAATGAAACTTGTTCACCAAGAAGTCAAGAATTCAAGATTTTATTTTGAAAAGATGAAATTTCTTAACTTAGAAATTTTTCTAAGTATAGAAAATTTCTTATTTTTCCACAACTTTGAGCCAAATTTTCACCATGATGCAAAGTGATTCAAAGGAAACTTCCAACATTAAAGTTGTAGATATCCATGAAATCTACAACTTTGATTCACACAATTTCTCCTAAACATGCTTAGATCTCAAGTTATAATTTTGTGAATACATGCTCATGAACTAAAAATGACTTAGTGAAATTTTGCCCTAGTTAGGCAGATTTTTGACCTAACTTCATGGCAATTTTTCACATAGTTCCAATGGGAATATTCAAAAGCAATTCAAATATGAGTAGTAGAGCACATTGCAAGATTTCCAAAATGTAAAATAACTCCTTGAGATCATTCTTGAGTAAGGAGAATCGAAGAGATGAAATTGGTGTTTTGTCACTTGGATTACAAACCATTTTGTGAAGAACATTGGATCCAATCCTCAAGCATGCTGTACAAATCCCACTTTGCAGGCTTCTAACTTGAATTTCACTCCATAATTTAATGTTTTCATAGATGTCGGAAGCTTTAATCCAAGCATTCAATTCATTGTACAAAGTGAATTCCATTTTGGGAAGAAAGGCAACATTGCCATTTTAGAAAAGCAAGCTTTATGCAAAGTAAGATTGCATTTAGCCTTGCATTGGTTTTTTCTGCACAAACACACTCTACACAATCAGAACAAGTGTGTTTAAAGGTCTCAGCCCCCCTACAAACTTTGTACTTCACCTTGTAACCATGCTTGCTAGCTTTGCTTCAAAAACAAGTAACCAAGCAAAACATGTGAGTTTTTGAAATCTGAGTTGATACAAGTCTTGAAACCTCTTGCTTATAAGTAGTCACACTATTTTCAAGTGGACACACGAATGATATAGCCCTGAAACTGCCTCAAATATTCAAAAACCAAAAACCTGTTCAAGAGCACCATTAACATACAATTCTGAACCAAAAATCATGATCTTCATTTCCACTCGTGCGTTTTGAAAACTAATCACTCAAACACCTTCTAAATATCATACCAAAGCAATTCATACCCTTGTTTCCTCACTGTAACTCCTCCATCAGTATCCACCATTTTCAAAAACCAAGCTTGCAGGTTGAATTGAGTAGAGAGATTCAGGGACATTCAAGGAAAAGTAAGAGTTGGGATACATTCAAGGAGGTCCAGGCAAGCTAAACAGATCCTTATGCCATCTCAAAAGTTGCTCAAACTCCATTCACGACTCCAGCTGCAAGAGGTAAAAAATAAAACTTATATCTCTTCATACAAGCATCATTTGATCCTGATTTGTGAAAACAAAATGTAGATATCCTAGCTCTAAAGCTAACCATGTTCATAGTTTCCATTTATATTGACTGTGTATAGAGAATTTTGGATTTGAAATTTCTGAGAAAATTAGGTTTCAATTTAGGGCCAGCAAAATTAGTTTTTATCTTCGACATTTAGTTTACATAAGTTATATGTTTGAATTCGTGGGAAGAAACACCATAACTTTCATGTTTGAAGTTTCTATTTTTGTGGAGAAATGAGAAAGATACAGGTGGTCCGACCATGGCTCAAGGTTGAAGATGAAGTTGCCTTCAGGAAGCAGTCTCTAATATATATTTATGCTTTGATTATATGACTGGATGAAACATCCACCCAAGTGGCAAGCGCGCATGTACTAAGGCATATGTTACCTAAAGGGCGAGGGTTCGAACCAATGTGAACCCCCCATTTGCATTTTTTCCAATTTTCTGATTTCCTAACATATTTTTGGCAGGCGTTGGGCCCTTTGGCCCCGACATTGTTTTTTTGCTAGCTCACCCCCACTGTTTACTTGTGACACCACCCTGGCCCCTTTTATTTTTATTTATTTATTTATTTATTTTTTAAATATATTTTTTAAAATACCAAAAAAATCATAAAATGTATAAAAATAATAGATTTACATTTTGACATAATTTAAATATTTTTTCTATATAAAATATTATTTTTATCCATCATACTTTATTTACTTGTATTAATTTTCTTGTAAATATTAAAATAAAACTAGGTTATTATTTATTTAAATACACTTATTTTTAAATATTAAAAAGAAAGACTAAAGAATATTTTATAATACTATAATTTATTTTTTTCAAGACAAAAATATAAAAATATAAAAAATACTTTTTTATATAAACTTCATTTCTTTTTTAAGTAGAATTAGGGTTTATTCAAGAATCGTTCTCTTAATGAATATTTTTCTTAAGAAACCAAACAAAAAAATATTTTTTTCTTTGCATTTACAAATTCTTGTATATTTAATTCATCTTGTATATTATTCATTCCAATTCTTGTATAAGTTTAATTTGGTTGTAATAGATTAATTAGGTTTATATTATTGCAATCCCAATTCATAAATTGTATACCCCCTCCCACAAATCATGTAATAGCTTAGTATTTTTATTTTCCGCAATTTAAATGCTTTATATTTACATGCTAGTAATTAGGGTTTGTATGGAAAGAACAAAATCAATCAAATAGAAAACCCTAATCCAATACAAAAACAAGCATGAAAATAACACACTTGCACACAAGCACCCCTAGGGTTATCCCACTTGGTTGCCTTACAAAATGGCCATATTACGCATGTAAGGTATCTTAGCAAAAAAACAAACAAATACAAGATCATAGTCCCTCGATGACGCCATTCAAAGTTGCCTTGCAAAATGATCTTAGTCCCTCAAAAAGAATGCTAAGATACCTTGCAACATTGCTAATTATGGCTATACGATGACCCACGCCCGTCCCGTTTACATCCAAAGATAGGGTTTCTTACCAAATCAATGGTAAGACAACAATATCAAAGGAAAAGAAAATGAACAAGAAAGACATTTGAGTAGGTAGATTGCTCTTAATTACATGTTCCATTTCAAAACAAACATCCTTGCTATTTTCAAAAACAATCACATACACTTTCAAACATATTACAAAATTAAAAACATTTTCAAAAGATCAACATCTTTGTATACATTCTTACGAACGAGAATCATTACAAAGATTTCCTAAACAATGGCCTCTTTACAAAATACTTTCAAAAACCCCACAAAGCACAATTTCAAACAAAAGCAAGTGATCTAGCAAGAAACTAAGAGCCCATGGAAAACCATGGATGAAAAGGGTGCTAATACATTCCCTTTTCATAATCTACCCCACGAACTCAAGAAACAAATCTCAAAGTTCTTTCCTGTGCTTTTTCACCTTTCCTTTTGGATAAAAGAAAAGTCGGTGGCGACTCTTGCTAACCGCAACATTTGCGATAAAACGCAAAACACTCAAGTCAGTTCTCCCACTGTATCACACCTTCTATCAAGAAACATATGGCTTATGCACCTCGTAATCATCATGTACATACCCTCCATTAAGTCATCTAACATTACGTGCATTCATTAACAACAATGCTCGGTATTTGGAATCAATGGTTATGGAGCGGGACCCCACACAGGAATTAGGTTTTCTTTATTTTGGAAAGGTTATCTCGATTAAAGACTCAAGGATCATGATTAGGGTGTTGTCTTTAAGGTTATCAAAGGGGTACACAAGAACTTGTCTAAAACACCTAAAGCTCATGTCTCCTCATCATCTTGGTCTCACTCAACACGTAAGAAGGATACATGGTTGTTCATACAGGGACTTCTACAAGAGTCTCCTTCCAAGAACTATAAGATAAGACATTCATCACCTTCTTGTGCTCATCATCATCCCGTGATTCAAGGTTTATTTCCCTGAACATGTGGCCTTCAAGAGGGTTTCCTTGTGAAGTCTTAAATTCAAGGTAATCTCATCATTGTTAGTTTGACTAAATGGAATTAAGAGTCATTGAAGATGCAAGTTGATTGGAATTTGTTCATTAAGATTTGAAGCAGATTTGAGCTCAACAGTAGTAAAAGTGGATTAAAGGTCTTAGGTATTGGCTTGTTCGAGAATATAACTCAATCAAGATGGAAGATTCATGTGGTTCAAGTTGCCATTTTCAAGTTCACTTAATTCATCTTCCATTATTCAAATCTAGGCATGGCATATAAATGGATTGGGATTCAATTCTTTGTGAGATATCAATTTGGATTCAAGTTTTGAAGCGAGGTGTCCCATAATAAAGTTCAATGTCAATTTAGGGAAGTTAACTTTTCACTAAAGTTCCATTTAAATTTATGACTGTTTCATTCAAGTTACACGCATAATGGAGGGAAAATGTATTTCAAAGTATGTTTGGACAAAGGATTCAATAAATTCAAAATTTAAAGGCAATTATAAAGGACATTCAAGTTCACTATTCAAGTTACCTCACAAACTCAATCTCATTACAAGAGGAACCATCACATATTTCACGTTTCAAGACCATTCCATTTCAAACCATGTTTCCGTACGCGATACTTTCCATGATCAAGTCATGTTTGATACATATCCAAGAGATTCATGCTACATCATTCAAAGAAAACTATACAAATAGAAAATCATTTTACTTCAAAGTCACTCCAATATACCATTCCAAATATATAGAAAATCATACAAAGAAAAAATATGTCCTTAACTTATTGCTCCTAATCATAAGTCTCATTTTCTTCCTAAGGCATATCATCCAAGGATTGCCAAGAACTCAATCTTTGTTCCTTAAAGTTTTAGAACTTATCCATGCTTCAATTCAACCGAAATCTCCACAAACCAATAAATAAGTCATGCACCAGTACATAGCCGAGCATAAACCTTCAGATGACCAACCTACTGTTGCTGCTCTATAAAAATCCAATGCAAACAATTAACCAAGTATACATAAACTTCAGCCATACGTCCACACATCATGTAAACCAATTTAGTTTAGAAAATATCAAGCTATCAAAGCCGGTTCAGTTTATCCATGCCATTAAACCAGGTCCAATCAATTAACCAAAACCAAGCTGCCTAGCATCAATCATAAACCAGACCTGCATAAGTGTTTTGCAGCATGAAAATAGAAAAATGATGAAAAGGAAAATGGTGAGAAAATCAGGAATGTCCAGCTCAACAAATCAAGGAGAAAATTAGGAAATATTTGTAAATAGAAAAAATAATATCAGAAGGATCAGTTTCACAACAAATGAAAGTTCAGAATCGATCTTGACCATTCACTTGTCCTAACCAACTTTCATTCAACGGCTGAGATCACTCTAGCTCTAACCGATTTCATAATAAAATTCTAACAATCATATAACATTTTTTCATAGAGGATTCACACACGCTTACGATTATTCATAATTCATTCACATCTTATAAAAAACTACACAAAGAAAACTCACCAAGGATCTGAGAACTCTTTCAGTATTTCTCTGCGATCTTCTTTGCATCAAGATCTTCATCATCATCGAACAATCCTCCATTGAATCTGTTTCAATCTTCACGACTCCATAATCTCTCAACATTGTTTCTTTAGGCATATTTATCTGCAATTATTGACTTCTTCATGGTTCTTCAACATTAACTTCAACGAATCTTCATCATCGTCAAGAATCTACAACTGCGAATTGATTAAATGATTATCATCATTATTATTTCTATCAACATCTCAGCAAAGAAATGCAACCATCATCACGGATATCAAATCTTCACTTCTCAACGAAACACTTAGTTTCCACAACAACACGAGAGATCCGGAAACAAAAATCGCAGAATGTGAAGAAGAACAAAGCAAAGTACCCAAACATGCAAGATTCTCTGGCTTTATCTCTGGTTTCATGGTGCTTTCGTTGCAACACCCACTGAGAAAATCCTTCATATCACAGTTAAATCATATGCTTGTCACTCTGTTTTCACTAGGTTTGATTTATGATGAGGCGGAGGTGTTAAAAGAGACGGAGGTAGAAAAGAATTTGACGGCAAAGTAAATCATGTCGAGACGAAGGGGAATCATCAAAAGAGAGCAAGTTCGCATCCGTTTTTTTAAAGGAAAAGAAGAAGGTGCGAGGATAACAATGGCAGAGGATATGGACTGATTGAACGAGATACACGAAAGGCTTTGCCGGAGAGGGCGACTTGAGTTATCGGCACCGTCTTAATCGAAGAGGAAGAATATGGAGGTTTCCACCTTGATTTTGGGAAGAGATGAGGGAATAGGGAAGACAATTCTCTTTTTGAAAGAAGCTGAAGTGTTACATTTTTTATAACCCTAACGCAAGAGTATAAAATGCAACCGTTTTGGGTTTTATTTTTTATTATTTCATTATTTTATTTTCTATTTTTAGATAATCGTAATAACAATAATGATACTGGAAATATGAAATTGGTGATGATTGGAGTAGGCTGGACCGAGTCACTCCACCCTTAGGCCCATCACTATAAATTTTTGAAAGCTCGAACTTGATTAGACAAAAATCTTACTTCTGGAGTGTATGTCATTGGGCCTTGCGTTTTTCTGAACATACACTGTATCTAGGCAGAACACCCCCTGATTCTTCTTTTTCTTTGTTAGATTTAGGACTTTTTATTTGTCAATTTTTCCTATGAAAAAATTGTAAAATCAATAAAACTTGTTAGATATTCTTAGTTGATTTTAGGAATTAATTCTTTAGTTTTTGATAGAATTTTTTCTCACATAAAAACTAATAAAAATACTTTTTCTTGTAGTTTTTTTCTTCATATTTTACACCATTTTGCCTTGTTGTTTTTGACGCGTTTGTTCATTGTGTAAGGTACGTTTTTGTGTTTTCGATCATATAACATAACAAGTTGTTATATGATCGAGACATATGGCTTATGCTCGCTTCTGACGCGACACGCCTTATTTCTCATTTTCATGAGAAATTCTTATTATATTAAATGTTGTCAAGATGCATGTGATATTTTATGCATGAACTTCTGATTACGCGTTGCATTCGCAACACACGTGTGTTTTTCTCTTAGTTAGATATCACTTTTGACTTTGTTTGTTTCTTGGTGAAGCTTTTTCGATGCGTACTCCTTACTTCTCCATTGCTTTCGTCCGCTTTTGACGATTCACTTGTTTTGGTAGTCGCCGCTACTGCTTTTACATTTTCCTGCACTTTATCGCATTTCTTTACCACTGTCTAGATATCATGAGAAGTAGGAAATCAAGAGCATACGCTCAAAGTCATTGTTTAAAGACCTGTAGCAGGCATTTCACACTTGTTTACTAATTGTGCTTGTGTTTTCTTTCATATTTTGACGGGTGATGATGTCCCTCAATTGGAAATGAGATAATGACTTTGGCTTTTGCATGCTCCCCATAGGATTTCATTGATTTCTTTGTTGATGATCGATGATGTCACTCAATTAGGATTGAGATAACGACTTCGATCTTTGCATGCTCCCTTAGGGCTTTATTGTTTTCGTTTGTTAATGATTGATGATGTCACTCAATTAGAATTGAGATAACGACTTTTATCTTTGTATGTTCCCTATAGGATAGTTATCATCACTCCTAGGTTTTTGGTATGCTAACATAGGTAGACATTTCCCTCTTAGCATTTTTCTTCCCACTTTGTGCATTTGCATAAAACCTTCTTTTTCTTAGCAAATCTTAAAACATGCTAATCACACTTAAACCCTCTTTCAAGGCAACAAAACACAAACCAACCAAACGCGGCATCTTGCCTTGAGGGCGTTACTCAAAACCGTTTTCACAAGGGTTCGTCACCCATAAAAAAACAAAACAAACAGATACATGTGATCCAAACTACAACGTTCTGATTCCTCGAAAGGGATACGTAGGCAACAGGTTGCGGGGCCTAACCGAGCAAAGTTCATAAATCGTTTCTTCTTTTCTCCATATTTCTTTTGCATACATTCTTCCTCAATAGTAAACAATAGGCATAGATTAGACACACCCATAAGATAGATAACAAGAGTGGATACCATAGAGTAATACAGGCGTGTAGGGTGCTATTAACTTCCCTCGTGTAACAAATTCCCTTACCCGATCTTTCAGTCACAAGACTGTGACTTCTCCCTTCTCAGGTTTTCTCGATGTTCACCTTTACCTTCATGTGAGATAAAAGACGTTCGATGACGACTTTATTATTTAATGATGTTTATCCGGTTGCTTCACTTTCCAGTTCTCAAGCGCCAGGTACTCTACCTAGTGGAACAATGACAAATCCAAGATAGCATAATAATGTGAGTGTTGTGATAACCAGAAGTGGTAAATCTACTGAAAGTTATAAATAGAAAATAGTGGAAGAAGACGGGTTGTTGGAAGTTAAGTTGAAAATCAAGGAACATCAGAAAAACAAAGATGATATTTTAATTTCTCCAGTTGTCGAGAAGAATAAGCGGAAAGACCCAAAACCTATTATTAGACTTCCTTATCCTCCAAGACAAAAGAATAATGATTAACATGAGAAAAATTTTGAGAAGTTTTTGGAGATGTTTAAGAAGATTGAAATAAACATTCCATTTTCTGAGGCACTTGAGAAAATGCCCATAAATATTGAACTGGTCATTCTGACTGAAACATGTAGTGCAATTCTTCAAGTTATGAAAATTCTATGAAAAATAAGACAGGGACTCTGTTACTATTCCGTGCACTATTGGAGATAGAAAATTCAAGAAGGCTTTGATTGACTTGGGAGCCAGTGTGAATTTGATGCCTTTGTCCTTTTATAGAAAATTGGGTATTGGTATGGTTCAAGATACAAGATGACACTCTAGTTTGCTGATCACTCAGTGAAGCGACCATATGGAGTGGTTGAAGATGTTCTGGTAAAGATAGACAAATTTATTTTCCCAATTGACTTTGTTATTCTTGAAATTCCTGGAGATGAAGAGATTCCTCTCATTTATGGCAGACCATTCTTGGAGACTGGATGGTGGATGATATACATAGAGGAAGGAACAATGAACCTCAAAGTCTATGATGAAGAATTGAAAATTGATGTTCGAAACACTATGAAGTACTAAAATGATGTTGGTACAAGTCATACTATGGAGGTTATAAATCGAGTGATAGCTCAAGGTATTCCAATGAAAACACTGTTGTACCCCAATTTTTGCACCTAAGATCCCTTCATCATACCATGTTGATTCATTCATAACAAGATCACACTAGGATTCTTGGTTCCCCTCCATATATTTAGATTTTCCCTTTTTGAGGAATCACAAGCACCTTGACTTATGTTCTTTTGTAATCATGAATATTGTTTTTGTCTTGATTTCTTCTTTCAACTAATAAAATGCAATGATGATTTGTCTTGCTTGTTACCCTCGTAGGTAAAGGCAATAAGATTTAACAAGTTACCCCATGGGTTCATGAGTTTATTTCCATGCCCTAGTCAATAAAGCTTGAGAAGTTTAAATCTCACTATTGGATTGGTTTTGGAATAATTGGCATGGCAAGGCCTTGTTCCTATTGGTCACAAGAGCATATTTCTCTCAATTCTCAAGATATGGAAGTGGTTTTGGTGGATAAGAGTTCTCATTATCATCCTCAACAACTTTTATTCACAAAGCAAGAATGTTGGTACAAGAAGTTTGTTCAAGCTTGTCAAAGTTCCTCAAAGCATTCTCTTGATCTAAGGAGCTAGGGTTTTAAACTTCAAAGGAATATATCTTGCTTATCTTTTGTTATTTTTAAGTGCTTCCAAAGAAATCATTCTCTTCAAAGGGTTATTAACAAATCACTTCAAAAGTTCCAAGGATTTTTCATGAGGAAGAGACTTGAGGAGGAAACAAGATTACAAGACCT